AGAGAGAGAGAGAGAACTGGATCGAGACATGCTTCTTTAGTAGTCACTAGACAGTCTTTGGTCCCTTCACTTTCCAATCTTTATTTTGAAAAAACCAAATCACCCTGATCATATTAATTTTCCCACCATGAAAACTTTCACACCCAACCTTTAGATATAACATGAAATACCGACTATAATCTCCTCGTCTTCTTTAAAGATGAACATGGAAAGCCTGAATCTTTTCAAGAAAGGACTTTTTTTTCCTTTTCTGATAATTAAAAAGGACCATTCTTTTGTATTTGAAAAATGAATGCAGTCTCTAAATAAAGTGATTCAGAAATCTCTAGAAATTTAAAATATGAGAGGTTACACAATTGCAAGGTTCTTGGCAACCAACCAGGCAATTACTTCAACCCCTCGTTATGGATTGAAATCCCTAATTTAATATTTGGCAGAAAGAAAGGTATTGGAAGGGCCGAGGTGCATGATGAAGAATATGGCATGGCTAATTCAGCAGAAGGGGCAAGAATACAGGTGGAGTTGAAGCCAATTTGAATTCTCTGTTGCAGTATTTACTTGACCTCTCCAGTAAATTCATCCTTCTCAACGTAAAATAACAAGCCTCTTGTTGCATCAGATGGGGATTAGGCTAAAGGGTGTAAACTGAGGTAGAAGAATGCGGAGCAGTCAGGAGTTGGTAATTTGCAATCTATGTTGAACTTGAACTTTGGGCTTAACTGAAAGGTGTAACCAAACCATAAGGGGATTCGGGACCAAAGATGGAAGAGATCTATGTGACGCAGTGGGTTGGGATTAAAATGCATCCCCTGTATATTATCCAGAAATCATGTGAGTCCTCCTATACCTTGAAGAAACTCCAATATAATAGGAGAATATGATATGTGGGCATGACCTATTTCTCTTTCTCAGAGTTTTTGGTTATTTTTAAAAAGGCGAATTCTTAATGTTGTTTAAAAATTATGGGAGCTTAGCAGCGGATTTCTTTGTCCTTTGTCCTTAGTTCCACAACTATCTCCCATAGAGTAGGTATTCATATATTTTATGACTTCATACAAATATTTCTCCCATTCTCCAAATGAACGTCACCTATATGTAAGATAGTATTATTAACTGACAGTTGATATTCTATTGAAATAAAATGACAGTTGACATTAAACAGGAAAGCTAAAAAATAATCAGAGGCTCCATAGCATGAAGATTTGGGAGGGATATATATTTAGGTGATAATGGCCACTTGTCGCACCCAAGGATTGTCTAGAGGGTCCACGCTCTGCCCCAGGTCTTAGCTTTTGGATGGTTGGCATGCCATGGTGTAAGGACGATTGATCGCCTTCAAAGGAGAGATGCAGATTCCGTATTTTATGTCGAGCTGAGGAGAAAATAGCAAGCCTCCTTATTCATTATTGGTAAACTATGACCATATAGACCTATTTTCTGTCGTGCAGTACCAATTTCAGCTTCTGTGGACGACCTTATGGTGATGGGTCTAAGGGAATCCCACCTAAGTCCAGGTGCTTTGGTAATAAGCATTACGGCTATTATTTGGTGCATTTGAATTGAACGGAATTATCATATTTCCTCGGATCAAAAGGGTGCACTAGTTGGTCCTTCGGGAGACAATTAGGAATGTGGAGACTTTGTGGGTGTTGCTTCTACCAGACTTCGAGGATTCAAGGCACTTCATCAAGGATCGGAAGATTTCGCCTTATCAGGTCCACCCTTGCTTCAGTCTAGGGCAGTTTGGGTTGCTCTGGTGGAGGGTCATATGAAGCTGAGTTTTGATGGATATTCATGAGGTAACCTGGGAGTAGCAGGTGAGTGGGATTCATAGAGATTAAGGTGGGAAGCATAAAAGACATCTGGACCCACTGGGAACATGTGATTCTACATAAGCACAGGCCCGGGCAATTGAAAGTCTGCAAATCTGTCACTTAGACGTCAATTGGTAGTAAGAAAGTGATATCATGATATCATAAGATGGGCCAGAAAAGAGTCCTCTGTGATATTTGTGAGATCTTCAACATTCGTAACACTCATAATGTGACGTGCACATTCTTTGGGGAGCTAAACCAAGAGGCAGATACTCTTGCCATTGAAGGAGTTATTCAAGAATCATTCTATGTTGACACAAGTTCAATTTTGTAATCCTAAGATGTTGTCGTGACATCTCTTGGCCTTTGTTTTATGTTATTGATTTTCTTTATAATTTTATTTTAATAATAAAGTTTATTGCTATAAAGAATAATATTAATCATCCCTCCTTCAAATACTTTTTTTTGGTTGAATACCTCCCTCGAATACTTATTTTTTGAAAAGTTCATCCCTCCCTCAAATTAATATATGAACAATTTTGATGTAGATGTACAATATTATCTTCCTTTTAGTTGGACTTTTTATGTATTTATTTTCAAAGTGTTAAAATTATTTTTTACGAGATAAAATTATCTTAAATGTTCAAAATTTCTATATTTGACCTGCCAATTGCGCCACCTAGTCTTACGTCGACTTGACTCAGTGACTAACCAAGTCAGGATTTAGGTCTGGGGTTATGAAATATGGTTAAGATGCACAAGGAACCATTCCCACACAACCACCTGAGATCCTAACATACAAGTATGGCCATGCAAAGCTTTGCCACAAATACCTCTTTGATCCCCAACGACTGCTGTCAATGTCAAGTAGACACCTTGCTTTTTCTGTGCCTCGTGTTAGAACTCCAATACATGTCAACATTGATCATACCATAGTTGTTGGAAACGCTTGGGAACCCGAATCGTTTTAGGAACCAGAATTGCGGCTGGCTAGAAGATTCATGTCTTGGGAATCATTGTCTGTACAATAGGAATCGCTAGGAACAAGATTCCTAGTTTTTGAGAATCGTGTTTCGACTGAAATAGATTCAAGTTTCATCCACATATGGAATCGAGATTCTGTCGTCTTTGGAATCAAGATTCCCATACCCTGAAATTGACACTCAAGGAGTAAAGATTCATTAATATACAAAATCGAGTTTCCGACATCTATGGAATCGAGTTTCTGACATATGTGGAACTGAGATATGTTGCTGTTTCGAATCGTGATTCTAACATATTTGGAATGAAGTTTTTGAAGTATATGGATAAGAGATCCATGCCAGTTTGAGATCGAGATTTACAATAATATTGACTATGGAATGCGTTTGACTACCCCTACTAGGAATCGAGATTTCATTTTTATGGAGAAGGGAGCCACATGCACATCTTGAGCCTCATCAACTTTAGAACCTATATTGGATGTCTCTTATTAGAAGGTTTCCTAAATTTTAAAGTGACTGTGTTGACTATTGAACTTAAAGTCATTATATACAAAAGACAAGTATTACTAAATTGTGATTTTGACTTCATTATTATAAAAACAAAATAGGATTATGTCTACGCCATGGTTTTACTTTTACTTGTATGTGTTGTATTTATCAGCTATATTTTAAATTTAAAGGCCATCCAGGGTGGTACAAGTAAAATAATGAAATCTTGCTACCACTAGAAGCATTCGAAAGAAGATTTCGACTCCAATTGATGTGGAATCAAGTTTTAATCCTCGCTAGAATCCAGATTCGATATATTTGAGAACCTCTACCCACAATTAATGAGTCCAAGTTTCTAAAGATGTGTGGGATCGACATTTCGAAATTAAGGAATCGAGTTTCCTGGGTTCCGATAAATGGTTTCTAAAGATGTGTTGGATCGAGATTTTGAAATTAAGAATCGAATTTCCTTGGTTTCGAAAAATGGTTTCTAAAGATGTGTCGAATCGAGATTTTGAAATTAAGGAATTGAGTTTCTGTGATTCCGAAAAACGGTTTTCGTGGAGATTCCTTAACGGAAACGCAGAATCGGGTTTCAGAACTGGAAACACAAGGTCGGGGGAGAGATTTTAGTAACTATGATTGTACCTTTTGAAAGCCAATCTTGGGTTTGTATTTCTTGCTGAAATTTTACATATCAGGACTGCCAAATCTCTTCTTTTTGGGGATGATTCTTTAAAATGAAACAATTTGGGGCTATTGCTTCTTGCTTGGAGAGTATTTCAATCTTCCTGTGAACGTGTTTCAAACTTTTGTAAAATGGATAGAAAAGTAGGGATTTTGATCTTCCTAGTAGATGGTTGATAATGGAGATTGGAAGGTTGAGGATTCAGCTGCCCCCACTACTTGGGGCTTCAATTCACCCCTTTCTCTAACATCATCTTAAGGTTTTGGGTGAGAATAGGAAACTGTTGTCACTTTTATTACATCACCTTCTGGATATACAATGGAGCCCATTATGGGAATGTACAATGATACCCTTGAACAAATCATACAATGCCAAATAATATCTCAAATGTATGTACATTAAAAAACAAATAATCTCAAATGTATTTTTAAATATCTCCAAACAGGACTCCCCTATAATTAACCAAGACAGAAGGGATAGTAAATTTAGACTTTTATAATGAAATGCCCAAAGATTTGATTGAGAAAACTTTCATTTTCCAGTGCAAATCTCCTCTTATTTGATGAAGTATCATATTTTTGCATTAAAAAATGTGTCGGTCTTTTCATTACTTGGGTTTCTTGACTTTTTACTTTGATCCCTTATTCATGTAATATTAATAGATCTCCAATTTGTGTACCGAGAATTTGTCAAGTCTAGGCTTTTATTACATGTTAGTGAAACAAAAGAGCCTTTTATTACATGCTAATTATAGCAATGTTTTGTGTCGCTTACAGGGCACTGTGAAGCTTGTTTTCCAGCCAGCCGAAGAGGGTGGTGCTGGGGCGTACCATATGATACAAGAGGGTGCCATCGAGAACATAGAAGCCATTTTTGGGTTACACGTTGATAATCAACTAAGAACTGGTGCAATAGCGTCAAAACCAGGCCCACTTTTGGCTGCATCCGGTCGCTTTGTTGCCATAATCCAAGGTCAAGGTGGCCATGCAGTCAAACCCCATAAAGCCATTGACCCTGTTCTTGCTGCATCTCATGCTATCCTCAGCCTACAACAGCTTGTATCTCGAGAAACTGATCCTGTTGATAGCAGTGTAATCCTCCTAGCTCATCTGATTGTTTTCTCATCTTCCTATTTATTTGGAGTTGCTTATTAACCATGTTATTTGGATGTGAACAATCAGTTTGTTTAAATATATTAATGCCTTTTATATTTTTGTTTCATTTGGTTTGAAGTGCTTTGGATCCATGAGCATTCTTTTAACAATCATTGATTTCCTTCTTGTATATTGACACTTGAGGTATTGATGATGATTGGCCACATTGTCACCCCGCATTCGCAGTTCTTTTCCTTGATTGATATCTCATCTCCGTCTCTATCTGTCTCTGACAATCTTAGCTCCTCATATTTTTCATCTAACCCTGGTCATCTCCAGTCATAATCCATCCTGGTCCCCTTATGATCAAGCCTTTCCTTGTTCTTGTTTTGACATGCTTGATAAGATCATGTGTGAGGACATGGCTACCTATAGGTATAAGTAATCTATAAGAGAGCTGATAGTAGAACCATTGGGTAGCTATCAGTGGTTATGGGCAATGCTATGTTGTACAATGTTGATTATGGACATTTGCCTCAAGAATGAAGGTAATCACCATTAAATCTCCTTTTCACAATGGTGGTGTGGTGTAGATAAAATTAATATACTTACAATGGTATTTAGGGTATCATGATGCTGTGCAGCATCTTGAGGATCCTTTTCTTTTGAACATCAAGTGTCATTTTGCTACTTTTGAGGACTTGCAATTGCGTAATCTTCTTGCGCATTATGTTATTTGTCTAAGCATTCCAAGGATCTTGTTGCTCAAATCTATCTATTAAACAACAAAATATATATCACTGTCCTTGAGCGTGATGTACTCTTCAGACATGGATGATCATGCTACTAGGGCTACTCATTCATTACACAGTCAAACAGTGATCTTCTCTATGTTACCATTTATTTCTTAATTAGTGTGCATTCTTTAAACATTTTAGTCCATGAAAACTCCATAAAAGCTACCTTTTGTCGAGGTTCATAGTATCATTCTTTTCAGAATGCGTAATGTTTACACCACTTTCAGGTTGCCATTGTCTATTAAGTGAATTTGTCTTTCTTTCTATATTTTATTGTTCATTATTGGTTATACATAGACCTATGAAGGTATTTGTATTAAGGGGATTCATCATTGTTAAGTGATGAAATGATAATTGTCGGCAAGATTATTGACAACACTAAAAAACTTGGACATATTCACCAGTTGAAAAAATGGAACTCTCTCCATCTATTGGTTATATTCTCTTGCTTAATATTCTCTTTCATCTTTATCAACAAATGTAATCCTTCGGTAGTTCCTTCACTTGCCTGAACTTTAAATTCGGCCAGTAGGGACATAGTTGCAGGAACCTTGGGGTTAAGGCCATGGTCCAGCTTAGGAACTCGATCCCCGATTCTTTAGAGGGATTTGGGTTTAGAGAAATAGGGATCTCTCCCCCTATAGGTGGGATATCAGTCTATATGATTTTGTAGGATCCCTCCAAGAAGAGGAACTATACTATTAATTGAACTACTGCTCATCTCTTTGGTATTATGGATTTATTCTTTTAGTATATTTTAAATTGTGGTGCATAATACTAGAATCATGGTATTAAAAAACTACAATTTAATATCCTAGTAAGCTAATTTGTGATATTATTAAACTGTATTATTGTAGTAAAGTTGAGTAGTATAATTATGGGATTAGTAATAAGCTAAAGTGGAGTTGTCTCTTGAATGGCCCTGTTTGACACAACCACCCCCTCCCCCTTCCCTCCCCTAGACCAAAACTACATCCACTGGTTCTGACCCACCCCTTCCTTTCCCCAAGCTCCACAGCATGCACTCCCTGACTCTCTCTCACCCTCTTCATTCGATCCCCATCCAATCAATCTTTCTTTGTCTGTTGCTTCCTCTACATTTGTCCTTCCCCCTTATTCTAACCCCCGTTTTCCTCCCTCCTACACCCTCGCTAGATCCACAAAACGTGTCATTCAGGTGGCCGACAAACCATTTTTCTGAGCTAAAGCAAAAGCTTTGTTCATCCTAGTGGGCCGTTTCAGTCCTAGAAGAGACAATATCCGGGGCATAGAGATTGGGACCAAACCTTTTGGAAGGAGCTAGACATCTCTTGTTGCCACCTCATAAATGTTTCTCTTCTTCTTAATTTCCCCTCCAAGAAAGCGGCTACCAAAGCTCTGAACTCTCACCCCTGTCTTTTTAAAGGAGCCTCTCTTTTTGTTGAATCCTGGTCCCACTTGCTGGGAGCTTTCGCAAAACAAAAAGTCTGGCTTACGGCCTCTAACATCCCTTTGCATGCTTGGCATCCCTCCACCTTCAAGCTCATCGGTGACAGTTGCGGCACCTTCTCTTGACTCATTGGAAGCCCTCCGAAGTTTTACCTTTGGGCTCCATCCAATTGCTCATCGAGGTCCTTGACCCCAAATCCATTCCCTACAAGCTCTGGTTATCTCTTGATGGTAACTTTTACTCCCACACCCCTCCTTCCTCTTCGCATCCCAAGCTCTGTCTCTCCCTCATCGTCGATTTAATCCTACCACCTCCCTCCGTTGCTCCTCCCCAACTCCTCAACCCTATATCTCCTCCACCTTCCTTGCCAAAGTATAGCGCCCCTTCCTTCTGTTTGTGTCCTGATCTTTCCTCTCCCCTCGTTCTGCCCTCCCCCTTCTTCAGCTTCCTCCTCCCACCCCTCTCCATCCTGATGGCCTCCCACTTGTACCTAAAGACCTCGGCCTACCCCCTCCCTGGTGCCTCCCTTCCTCTTACCCCTTCTCCGCCCTCACTTATCGGATCTCATCCCCTCTTCGCTTCTGAACCCCATGACTGGCTCCATCCCCCTTCTTCTCACCCCTTCCTACCTTATCGCACCAACCCTTCGACAGTGCCTTCTTCTTCTTGTACCTCCACTCCTCCAACCCTTACCCTTCCCTCTTCCCCCCCTCCCCCAAATCCCCCACTCCCCACGTTCCTTCAATCCACCCCCTTGGCTGCCATTCTGACCCCCGTTACCTCTTGCCTTCCCCTCGCTTCCCTTCCTCTGTCCTCTCCCTCCCCCTCCCATTACCACTCCACCCTCACCCTCTTACCCCTCTGAACCCACTCCTCCCTCACCCTTAACCCTTTCCCCCAATCTCTTAGCTGCCTGGGATAGCCACAACTCCCTCAAACCAGCCATCACCCCTTCCACCTCAATCGACTCTTGCCCCCTGCGTCTCTTCCTTTTAACTCCATCAACACTCCTCTGTCTCCTCCCTTTGTGGGTTCCAATTTTGTCAAAAATATGGACAATGCACAAGGTGACATCGACCACATCCTGAGGATTATGGATTTCAAGTCCGACTGCTCTAAAGAAGATTGCGAGGCCTTTTTCCATCCTGTTGCCCAGACCTGTTTCCAAGTAAGAAAAAGGACAGAGGGAACTCTCCAACCTCAACTTTGGGGTGAACTATGACACAAGCACAACCTCCTCTTCTTGTGCTCGGCGGTGGCCAAAGTCTCAGTGGTCCACCCCACCGCCAGATGCTCCTTGACGCATCTCCCCTTTCTTAATCACTATGAAGCTACATGTCTGGAACATCAGGGGCCTCAGACAACCCTTAAGATAAATTACACTCGCTCTTTCTGCTCCACTCACACTCGCTTGAACCTTGCCCTTATCGAAACTAAGCTCGCATCCCCTTCTCTCATTTTCGTTCGACAAGTTTGGGGCAGACAGCCCTTTCAATCGTTAGGGCTCGAGGCCAATGGAGCTTCGGGAGGCATCTGGGTCATCTGGGACCCCGCCGCTCATTCCCTCTCACCCTCCCATATCGCCTCTTTCTCTATTATAGTGGTTCTCTCTAGGGTCTCTGACGACCTCTTCTAGGAACTTATTGCTGTTTTCGGATCAAATTCTGATCAATCCAGAAGTGCCTTGTGGGAGGAATTGGATGACATTGCTTCTCGCCCTCCTTTGAGGTCGTGCTTGGCGGGAATTCAGTGTTACCAAATGGTCATTCGATAGGAACTCAAACTTCAGAGTCTAACAACCCATTCTTCTGTGATTTTATTTTGCATAGTGAGCTCATTGACATCCTAACCAAGGGGCTACTTTCGCTCGCTCCAACCGTTCATCTTCTCTCTCCCCCTCTAAGATCTATCACTTCCTATGCATCCTCGGCCATCGAGTGAGACTCCACTTTCCCTGACACCCATGTCTCAGCCCTCCCCAAACCCACCTTCGACCATAAGCCTCTCCTTCTTGATACCCTTCGTACATTAGTGGCCCCAAACCATTCAGGTTCGAGTTGGGCTTGGTTCAAAGTACTAGGCGTCCTTCTCTGATCTCCTCTTGGTAGGCGTCCTTCTCTGATCTCCTCTTGGTAGGCGTCCTTCTCTGTCAACAGATGGGTCGGTTTTCTCCTCCAAAAGAAACTTCAGCTTCTCAGGGATTCTCTTTAGGATCTGGAGCCGCCACCTCCACGGGAACTTTCAAAACCGGAAAGCAACGCTTTTGCATTCCATTCATGAGTTGGATCTCATTGAGGATGCTCACCCCCTAAGTCCAGCAAACCTCTTCTCAGATTCCAACTCAAATTCCACCATCACGGTCTTCTCAGAATAGCAGAGATATTGTGGGCTCAATAGTCCAAAGTCAAATGGTTGAAACAAGGGGACCTCAACGCGGCTTTCTTTCACATAATAGCCAATTGCAAGAGAAGGGGCAATACCATCACCCAAAGCAAGATCCAAGATACGGTCCTTGACCAACGCCCAGTTGATTGATCTTAAATTTTTTTCACAGCTTTTCTAGGCTTAAGCGAAACCTATTCTTAGAATGGCTCACTTATCATTCCCTATCATTCCCTCAGATTAGGTCCTTTAATTGGAATATCCTTTCTCTGAAGATGAGATCTTTAAAGCTATCAATGAGCTGGGTCAAGACTGTACTCCAAGCCCTAATGGCTTCCCTATAACTTTGTTCAAATATTTTTGGGAACTTCTTCGCCCGAACCTTCCGT